ATACACGTAATAATCAATAATCATACAATTCTTGATTATTGTCTTGCAATGATTTTGCTCATTGAGTTAATATGGGTGATTTTAATTCGAAAGTCACTTCTAGTTTGTATGATATGACGATTTGCAGAGTTGGGCATTGACACTTGTTCATCAGTACCAACAGAAGGTCACGTCAGTCACTGACGTACAGCCATTTGACGTATGTAGCTGATTTTGCAGTCCTCCTCCAGCCAAAGTAATGAAGTGAGACGACTCCTGAAGTGGGATATGAGATTCTTAAAAAAAAAAAAAAAAAAATACCCGGAGGAGGTGATCCTCATTCTGCGAATCAGTGTGCATAGATGGTCAAAAGAAGACCAAGTGATACTATAAGTCTTCATTCTGCAAATCAGCGGTGAGGATTGAGACTCGTGAGTCATTCGAGGAAAAACAACTTTTGCTTCAAATTTAGAGAAGTGCCCCATCTCAGTGAGTAATTTAACACCAAGACTTAAGTCCACGTCCCAAGCCTGGAACTGATTTAGGTTTTGACAAGACTGACATTGTCAAAATAACATTGTGCCAATGTGCCTAAAAATGATCACTGACACTTCTGTTCCACCAACAACTTCGCAACTCCATCAAAACTACCACTGAAGAAAACACAAAGTTAAGCTGAGCAACACTCATTGTGAGTCATGAAACCCATGCCAAGTTGAGCAACCGCACTGTACCATTGAAAAAAGCAAGTAAATGTTGGCGAGACATCATTAACACCGCCATGATCTACTTTACTTTAACCGAGCAGTTGAAAGTTTGCCAGATGTTCAATTTTCATCAATTCTTACATGCTCATACTCCGCATCATAGCTACATTAGTGATCATGTGTAGTATGTGTAGGAACATTATGGAGACTGTAAAAAGATTGCGGCTGCATTTTTTGACACTTCAAATTTAGGACATGCAATAATGGTGCTAACAGCTGTATTTCTCTTACCGTCTGTATTAAGGACTGTCCACACATTACATATTCCAGGGTGAAATTGTGGCACAAATCCCGACATGTGAAAGATTATTTTTTCATTCCAATTGCTGTAGTACTTGGCAGAGGTAGACCAGTACTTACTGCAACTCAAAACTTACATACAAACTGTGTCATTGTGGGGTAATAAGTGACATTGAAATGAAATCAGTCCCAAGTGTGACAGCTGATGGTGAATTATGTCCATAATGGCCCTTCATAAAAAAGCGTCCTTGGTCTAAAAGGCTTTTTATTTTCTGGTTAAATACAAGTTTTAATTGAATGGCTGATCTGTCAGTGCGAGTAACGTATTGTGAACAGGAAGAACAATATAAATGCTCTTCCACGAGTCAGATGGCATAGGATAAAATTAACCTCTGTATTCATGCTTTTTTAAGCACATGTTGCTTTTTGCTTAGTGACGTGCTGTCTGATTTTCTTATGTATAATGTGCTTTGGCTCACTCTGGGTTAGAAAACTGCTGTAATCTGTATAGCAACAGCACTTAAACACAACACACAGGCAGCACGGGATGCGCTAACTTGTCCAAGCAACGTTTGGAAACGAGCAATTACACAAAGTCTACTTTAAAATACAAAGCCACTTGATATCAATCCCCTTTGTGCTTTCCTTGTCTGTATTGTTAGCCAGTCTCCACGAAAGGCTGAGCAATAGCTTGACGTTCCTGACATACATTGCGACAATACGGCGAGTTACAATGTCGCTGGTACGTTCTAAGCTTACCGTGAACCCAGTAATCCTCCACCGAAGCGAAACTTTGTTGTATTCAGCTGATTTGATGATAACGTCGACAAAATTGCGAAAATCGTGAGCATTAGCCGCTAGCCGAATGCTACATAGCCAAGCAACACCGACAATAATGCCCAACACAAGCTATGGGCCAATGAGCGTGAAGGAAAGGAAGGTGCTAGCTTTCTGATTGGACGTGAGCGCATATAACCACGCCTCCAATACGACCACCTTCCCTGCTTCAGCAAAACATAGACTCCAAGAATTAAAAAAACCCAAATAGACTCCAAGAATGTATGACAAAGCTTTAAAGTGTTGACAGGATAGGAATATTAACGATAGTTATTTCGCAGGCACAGCTAAACACACAGATCATCATTTTCAGGGGAAAAAAACGTTTGGTGCAGCATAGTGACGTATGGTGAACACGTGTGATCTAGTTTCGTTTATCTTGTTTCTCAACTTTCTGCTTGGGTATGTTTTTATTGAATATATAATGTCCATTATAATCGAAAGAAATAAAGACTATAAATAACTGGAACATATATTTGTGGAAAGTCTTTAATGTTGAGTCTCCACTTCTACAAGATGCACCTGCTCATCTCAACAAAAAAGAAGCAATGTAACTCACCCATGGCAGCACGGTGTCCTAGTGGTCAGCATGTCTGTCTCACAGTTCAGAGGTTCTACGTTTGAATCTTGATCTACGTTTGAATCTTGACTTTGGACTTCCTTTGTGTAATTTTATTCTCCACGTGCTTGCTTGGTTTTCACAGAATTCCAAAATAAAAAAAAAATTTTAAAAAATGGTCCAGCTCACCTGTAACCCCAATGAGGATAAAAACCAAATGGTCCAGCTCACCTGTAACCCCAATGAGGATAAGTGCCATAAAAATGGCTGGATGGATAAATAAGTCATGCCAATTTTACTGTTAAAACACAAAATTAACATCTGGTTATGAAGACAAAGGCATGCTCAGTTAAGCAGCATCAAATATGATTCATTTGGTTGTAACAATGAAAGGCACACACCCTCTTCGTTTTACAATTCCACATTCTTATCCTGAATAATTTATCAACATAGCATTCTTAATATGTAAGAGAGTACATTAAGATATTCAAGACTTGGCTGTAATGCGCTTATTTGACCTCAAAACTGACATGCCAAGAATATTAATGTTGTATTCTTAATCCTTGTTTTTTTTTCTTTTTGGGAAAAAAAAAAGACAATTCTATTTCCATATAATGAAAGTGACTTTAACCTCAAAAGGAGGATCATAAAGTGATCTACTAAATGGCCACGATATCAAGACAAAGAAAGACAATCATCTGGCATAAAGGAGATTAAATTGTTGTTGTTTTTCTCCATTGTGCTTAACAGTATCTGACTGTGCACAGGAAACTTTTTTTTTTGTCATCTTCAGAAAAAAAGCAATTTCTATTTTTGTGCAGCAAAATAATGCATAACAACTAAAGACGTTGTAAGGGTTAGTCGACAACATCTATTGCAGCCTATAATCCCTTCCAGTGCATCATTCGTTAGAAATGATTGTTGCTATTTATTTATTTATTTATTTAACTATAGCTGCTTTGATTATGAGATATGAGAATCATTAGGAACAAAAAGATGGATCTGTTCGGAGATACTCATTTTTTTATACACACCACTTGCTTTTGTGACAAATGCCGCACAAGTTGAAAAATGAAAAAAAAAAAAACCCAAATCATCCCTCATCGCAAATCTTAATTGTGTCCTTCCATCCATTACTTGTATCTATATTTTCCCCTCTTTATTCCTGGGAACCTCACAGGAAAAATAAAACGGGATGAAAATCAAACAAGACAAACACAATGTGCACCTTCTGAAGAAAAATGATTCCTGTCGTGTTGATGACCAGCATCTGCATGAGTCCTTTCTATTTAAAGCTTGTTGTTAGCGTAATTGTGACTTCCAACCACACACTACATTTAAAGTTAATACAGGCTGATAAATATGTAATGTGTGTCGAGATTCAAGCCGCTCCAAGCAATGCGCTTGCTGTTATCTTCAGAATAAAACATCAATCAATGTCGTCATATCTGTAACGTCAACCACAACCCCCCAACCCCCCAACACTGCACCCTGAGTAGATAGCGGTGAAAACATGGTCCATTCAGCAATTATTCACAGAGTCTTGGACTAATGGTGCTGTGGATGCACACACACACACAGCAAATGTAGGAAGTCAGTGGACCAGCAGTAATGGACCCCATACGAAGCATGTGTTCTTTCTTCTGTGTTTGTGTGTGTGTATCGGTGGGGGTTGGATAGTGCATCTTCTACAACTGATTCATGACGAGCACAAACATGTCTAATTATGAATCCAGATCATATCAGCGCAGGCCTCTATCCCTCTCCACCCTCTCTTGCCTCAGCCCGGCTCCATATCAGGCGGATGAAAACATAACCTGTCACATTCCATCCCATTAAACCAACTATGAACCATGTGGTCGAACTGCACAGAGAAAGGCAGGAGGGGAGAACAGTGCATCTGTGTTCACTCGGCACCCATGAATTATTCACCGTCTTCGGGCTAATTTTATTTTAATGTTAAAACTATGACAGATATACAAAAGGGAGATCAATTGTGGAGCGCAGGTGCCCGAGGACCGTGTCTGGCCTGTGAAAAGTAGTTGCTGCACCCACATCCCCCTTGGTCGTCTTGTCCTGTCACATGTTGACAGCCGTAGTTGCATATCCTCCATTTTGCTAAGGGTGACTATGCCTGCTGGGGAACATAGTGTGAATGTAGCCTTATCACTTTTAACAGAAAATTATGATGCGGGTAAAAAAAAAAAAAAAAAAAAGAAGTTATATATATAAAAAAAACATGGTTAGCAGTCCACTGTAGTAACCGTTGTCCCTGAATGGGTTAAGAATGTGAGGTTGGCAATTGCATGACTTATTATTTTGTATGTAGCGTGAGCAAAGCGTGAGGACAACTCTGGACTTTCCCAAAAGCGCCTAGTCTGTAAACAAGCAGCTTCTGAAAAGTAGCTGTCGTGGCTAGCCATGATTGCCCCCCCCCCACCCCACCAAAGTAGTGAAGTATAAACACAACGTCGAGCTTCAATTAAACAACCTATCCAGAGGCTCTTCAAATGGAGCCAAAGCACGAGCAAATGCCATTGAAAATGTTTTCATCACATTTGAACCGTGACTATTGGACTTTGTTTGCATCCTTCATTTCTTTAAAAAAAAAAAAAAAGTATTAACATTGCACTTTCGTAAAAATGATTCTAGCTGTTGCTGTTTAATTTTACGTGTCATTAAATGTGGTCCTGTTTAAGCAAAAGATAAACATTTACAAACCAAGGTACGTCCTGAACCACAAATGGCATTTATGTGGCTTCACCGTTAAAACCGCCTCCCTGAGGGCACACTGCACAAAACCACATTTAAACTTACACACATATCCATACTGCGCACGCGCTACTCAAATATGACCTGTGTAATTATCCTTTGTAATACCTCATGCATTAGAGCAACCGGGCTGAGCCCCCAAATCTGTGCCTATAAGTCCCATCAGCTGCCATTTTCATGTCAGGCGGGCAGAGCAAGGTAATGACATTTCACTCACTTGCAGTCGTTAGCCGCGCTGAATGCCGGGAGTTAACGCAAATTAAGTGAAGTTAAGTACATGCATTAGAGGAGCTTGTTTCGGAGAGCTTTGCCCTTTTTGCCGCCTGAAACTGCAAGCTGCATGCTTGTTCCGCCTACACAGTCCATACTGTCCAACACAATCATTCTGTGATGCTGGTCGAACCTCCAAGTTGCTTTACTTAATTTTTTTTTCGCAGAACTTAGAATGTCAAGTATGTGATATGTTGGCGAACAGTCCATGTCGTAACCTGCTCAATCGTGCTAGAGTAAAACGGATAGATAAATATATTGTCAAATGAATTAATTTCTTCAACTGTTCAATTTGACTTCAAACTAAAATAAAGGAAAACTACTCCCGTTTTGAAGATGACTGATAGACACTGTCACCTTGCGGCACTTTTGTAGTTCATGCTGGAATTAGTAAGTGTTAACATATAGTAAACAATTTTGAATAAAGGTACCGGTATATGGTTGCTTCACGGGTATGTACTGTTTCAGCAATTGTACTGTATGCCTGAGTGACTGTCTCCCAGTAAATTATAGAATAGATTTTAAGATTCTACTACTGGTCCACTGAATGGGTTGGGTCCCGAATACAATCAGGAAATGTATTTTTGTAATTCTAGTAAGCTACTTTTGTTCTTTGCTTGGCCTTTGAATGTCTTCATCTCTTCTGCTTGTCAATGTTATTCGGTGCTTTTGGTTGTGTGAAGCACATTGAGTTGGCTTGTGTATGAAATGTGCTATATAAAAATATTTCCCTTGCCTGAATTTAGATGTGCTAGGCTCCAGATCACCTGCGACGCCAATGAGAAGCGGTACTGAAAATGGATGAATGGATGTGCATGTCTATTTCTGGTGTTTTGCATTAAGTCCTTCACTATTGGAAACAAATCAAAGGGAAGCGGGAAAATGTACAATCTTGTGTGCAAGAGAAGTAACATCCGAAAAGGGCGGGGTGACTGGTTCACTGCGGACATTGCGGATGGCTTTTTTCTTTTTGGGGGGGTTGAAAAGAGGCTAACATGATGAAACTGACAATCTCTGAAATCCATTTGGAGCTCGCTCAAGATTACATCTTTATCTGAGTGATTGCAGATTACTGTCCACAGAGAGGTGTGCTAAAGATGGATTATCCACTTGTTGGGAATGCATCTGACCCAACGGATGTGTGTGTGCCAACCTCATAGGCCCCTTACATCTGGGGCGGGTCCCTGGCGGGCGGTGCCCTCCCCCCCACTTGTTTGGGATAACAGTAAAAGTGACACCAAAAACGCTCATCCCCAGATTACCCTGGTAAGTGATTCAAATGTGTGGTCCGAAAATATCATTAGGAATACATTTAAAATTGATGCACTACATGCCCATCTAAAGCCGGCTAATTGTCTACATTGGTTGTTTGTGTTTTTGGTTTTGCCAGTTCCGTAAAGCTGTTTGGACCCACGATGCTTTGGACTAGAAACCATTTATTTTCTTCTTTTCTGTGCTTTGGCCACACAAAGG